GGTACAGGAACACAAGACCTTCCACCGCTACACTGTGCGAGCCCGGCGGGGCACAGCCCAGAGCCTACGGGATGCCCAGACTCCAGGATCAGCACCCAGATCAGCAGGAGCCTCCCTGCGACGTTACAACGAAGCTGCACTGCTTAAGGTGAGAACAGACCACAGGCTTGGGTTTTCAGTAGGGAAACCAGTTTTCAGCTGGTCATAACCAGCTCTGTGTGATGATGCCATGCCACTGTTGGAGTTCATATGCAGGCTATGAGTTCCAGAACAGAATCAGGATCCAATTTAGGCTGCCGTGTCTTGAATCTGCCTGTTCCAGGGCTGCTGGTGCCCACGCTGTGCATTCAGGACTCCATGGAACCTTCCTTTCTTCCCCAGGATATTCAGGACTTGTTGGCAGCTTGGGCACAGCACCTCAAGGAAGCTCAGCGCATCTTTCTCCGAGCCCCTCGTCACAACCGGGCGCTGCTCTTTGATAGCAGGAACCCCCACCTCAGCCGGGGAGACCCCCGTGTCTGCCACATCCCCCTCAGCACACGCAGGGCCACCCTGAGGGAGGTGCTCCGAGTCCATGCTGTGCTGTCCAGTCTGCAGGTGTTTGGTGAGTTGGCCTGGCCCTGGTGCCCCAACACCTGTGGTCGGTGCAGGTGAGGTGGCGTGGTCCCTCATGTAACTCTGGAGTGCTGGGCACATCTAGTGGTTCTCCTGTTCTCCATCCCTGGGCAATGACACCCTTGATGTATAGGGAAGGACACCCCACTGGAGGACATCACTGGGTCCCCACGAAAAGTCTGGCAGAAGAAGCAGCGGGCAGCTGAGATGGATTCCTTGCAGATGGACACAGGTAGTGAATTCAAACGTGGGGGGGTGGTCAGGTGTTACCCGGGGATGAGATTTACAGCCCTACAACAGGGCAGAATGCTGTAGCGGGGACTCTGCAGAGAGTGGCTTCCTGCTGAGTAGAAGGGAAAGGTGTGCTTATCTGAAAGCCCCAAATAATTCATGCTCTGTGTGGGGTTTCAGCCCCTGTCCTTTCTCCCTCATCAGCCCCAGAGGAGGAGGAGGTAGAAGAGGAGGAAGAGACTCCAGCAGGGGAACTGGAAACTGTGGAAGTGACACTGGGGACCTTGGACCTCCGGGAGTTTGAAGTGATGCCCAAGAGAAACCGCAAAAGGTGGAAGAAGAGAAATAAAAAGATGGAGAATGGTGAGAGGGAAGATATTGGGGAAGGGACTGCCACGCCTGAGGTGCTGGCTAGGCTTCCTCACCCCCTGGTCCCACTGCAGGGCTCCATGCTGAAGAGACAGGATGCTGTGGAACCCAGGATGGGCAGCCCAGCCTGGAGCTGGTTACAGAGCTGCAGGGGAAGTCTGGGGCTGAACCCTTTCCTTGGGAGATTGCAGGTGAGCAGAGCTGAGAGCCTGGCCAGATGAGCACCTGCTCTGTGTGCTGGGTACTTTGCAGTTGGGGTGAAGAGCAAATTGTTGTGCAGGTACATTGAACAGTTAAGTGTCAGGGTGGCTGTAATGTAGCCACATGCCTTCAGGCATGCGGTGTGTGCAGAACAGTAACTGAACCATAGTGTTTCTACCTGGATAGATAAGACTAGAGAGCAGCAGAGATTTTTGCTGTGACAGCAGGCCTGGGATGCTGCAGGCAAGCAACTGGCCTGCTCATTGGAGAATACAAGCTGATGGGAGAGGGGAAGGTATCCAGGGACACCAGTTCCATTACCCTAGATCCTGTTCTGTAAGGCAGACAGCACCTGGTTAAGCCAGGCTGCTGCATGAGGTTGGGATAGGTTTTGTGTCAGTAGAGGACATGCCTGCTGTCAACAGAGTCACGGTACACTGTCACAGATGCTGAAGTGCTGGTACCCATGTAATGCTATAATAGGATGGAAAGTACTGCAGTAATAGTGGGGTGGCAAAGTCTTTGGCTGCAGCAAATGAGAATGAGCCCAAATGCAGCAGCCATGGGTGCAGAAATGAAGGAAAAGAGCTGCTTACCTTTGGAAGGCCTCAGGGATGTAGAGATCTCCTGCAAGAGATTCCCCTCACCTCCACTGCCCACCCTTAAAAGAGGTCTGGGAAGGGATGGATCCTGGCTCCCCCACTTCCAGTCACTCAATGCACTGCATGCAGCTGAGCTTTCTTGGGTTGGCCCTGCCTTCCCACCAGGTGCTCCATCACGGGTTCAAGGCCATGACTTAGCATTTCTGCTACATACCCACATCCAACTATCAGGATAGTGCTTTAACAGCGATATGTTGGTTTCCCAGTCAGCCAAATGGTCCTGTACCATCAGACTTCCCCTCTTGTTCTTCTCTCACAGGAGACCCTCAGATCCAGCTCCGCGATGCCCTGTTCACAGCCTGCAAGACCGGGGATGTGGGGACACTGCAGCACCTCCTGGGTGATCCGGAGAGCAGGGGCCCACTGGGGGACAGCAAGGATGGGGATGATGAACAACCCCTGCATCTGCCCCACTCCCTGCTCAATAAGCCTGTGGATGAGCATGGCTTCACCCTGCTTCATGTGGCTGCACGTGCAGGGAGGGCTGAGGCTGTGTATCTGCTGCTGGAAGCAGGGGCTGACCCTGCACTCAGGTATGGCCACGGGCATCCAGCAGTTGACAGCCACTGTTACGGGAGTCCAGCAACTCCCTCCTGTTGCAGTTATGTGAGGCTGATACCAGCCTTGTCATGGGGCAGCTGAGGTTGGTCAGGACCGCTGGGTTTATTTCTAGTTAATTCAGAGGTTTGGGGTGAGATTACCCTTTGAAATGCAAGGAGAGGATTTGGGGGATTGTGGTGTCGGAGTATGCAACCTTCCCCTCCTTGGCTCTAATACTCTGGTCTGATATACTTCCATTAGACACACCTTCAAGGAGTCACTGGGCTCACAGCCCAAGGAGAAGCAGTGATACCTTAATGTTGAGCTGCTCTTTTCACCTTGCAGAGACAGACAGGAGAGAACCCCTTACTGCGTCTCTGCTGACAAGCCAACACGCAATGCCTTCCGCAAATTCATGGTAGACCACCCAGATAAGTACGACTACAGCCGTGCCAAGGTGGGTGCCTGCCCTCTGCCCTTGCCTTCTGGGGACCCCAAGCAAAGTGGCCCTCAGCCACACTCCAGCATCCTGCTCTTGCCTCCTCATGCCTTTATCCCTTACTCTGAGGGAGATGCTGACTGCCCCCTGCCCATACTACCCCAGGTACCTGGCCCTCTAACTCAGGAGATGGAAGCCAAAAAGCTGGAGAAAAAGCGGGCACAGAAAGCCCAGCGGAAGCAGCGGGAGCAGGCACAGCGGGAGGAGCGGCAGCGCTTGGAGCAGGAGGAAGAGGAGAAGCAGCAGTTTGCAGCCTTGTCTGATAGAGAGAAGGTAAGGCCTCGCACATGGGAGAGGAACCAGCCTGGCTGGGCCAGTACTGATGCAGTGAGCTCTGGCTCAGCACACCTTGGGGGCTGACCTAACTCTCTGCTCCCCAGAGGGCCCTAGCTGCAGAGCGGAGACTGGCTGAACAGATGAAGAATGGCAGCACAGCTCTTTCCAACATCAGGTAACAGCCCACATAACATGGCTATTGTGAGGTGACAGAGGGAGAATGCTGCCAATGCTGGCCAGAAGTGTTCCCTTTAATCAGAGGCTGTCCCTCACTATTAGCATATGCAGATGAACTCCTTGCATCAGCACAGCTGTTCCCTGCTGTTCTTATTCCAGTCCTCATTTCCAGTCTAAAGCTATTCCTGTCCCTCCTATTCCCAGCAGTTTATCCATCCCCTTCAAACATTTTGTCAAGACAGCTTTGTCCACTTGCAGCCAGATCTGTGGCAAACCAAGCCTTCAGCCTCTCCTGTGACTTTCTGACCCCAGCTGCAGTATCCTTCCCTGTGCCACCCCACAAGCTTGTGGGCGGTCAGATCTACACATAGTAGTCTGGGATATGCTAAAAAAACCACAGACGGGGCCAAAGTCCCATGTTCAGCCTGCCTTGAGGTACCTCATGTACTCCCATGCTGCATCAGCTCCAGGGGGGTGTGCCTTGGTGAGGCTGCTAGGTTAGCCCTGTACTAGTGTGAGCACCTGCTCCCTTATGTCACAGCTGCTACTCAGCCACTGTATGAACCTGTTCTCCCTTCTCCAAGTGTCCCCTTCACTCAAGGCCACTTCTGTTCTTTCCCTGCAGCCGTTGCTGGTACTGTGGAGAGTCCCTGCTGGGCCGGATCCCATTCCATTACCTTGATTTCTCCTTCTGCTCCACGGCCTGTCTGCAAACCCACCGTCGGGCCCAGGCCAAGCACACATAAGGCTGGGGGATGCCATCATCAGCCAGGGACCCATGTGGTAGAGACATGGCTAAGCACTGGCTGTGCAGCTACAGAGAGTCTGTAGAGCAGTGCTGGTAGGTAAGGGGGACTGAGCTGGTCATATCACTCTCTGCAGCAGTTTTCACAAAACTGGGCAGCTGCAGCATAAGTGTAACTCAAGGTATGTTACACAAGGCCTGCACATATTAGTGCAAAAGACCAAGACTGCTCTGTAGTCTGGTTCTAGCTAGGAAGTCCTACTGCCTGCTTTTCTGATGGGTGCCTTGTAGGCTGCTGATCCTGATCTGCACAAACCCTGTAGCCTTGAGCCCCCACGCCTGGAGGTACCTTCTCACCTGTATCTTGCCCTTTCCTCTCCTGGAAGCCACTGAGTCTCAGCCACATAATGTTAACAACTACCTCCTCTGCCTGCATTGTCAATAAAGAGGTGCCTTCAACCCCTTCTAGGTATATAAGCATTGAAACTATTTGAGATAAGTTCAAGTATTGATGGAAAACAAGCTGATTCTGGGCTCCTTTCCTAGTAAAGAGCCTGCCTGGTTCCAAAGCAGCCAACTTCGGCTGTCCCTGCAGGGCTGTGCCTTTTTCCTAAGCACCAACCAGACCCATAGTGCTTCACCAGCCCCCTGCAATCCCTGCAGGCATAGTGAGAAGCAGTGACAGTGCCTGGCAGTCCTGTGTTTATTTTTTGTCCAGGGGGCTATGGCTGAGGGTCCTGTTGAAAAGGGGTTGGTCAAGGAAGAGCAGGAAGGGGTTGAGGGGTGCCCCCTCTAGCTCCAGCACCGTGATGTTGTTGGGGCAGCCAACACACAGTATCGAGCCAGGCACAAAGAGGGTTTGCTGCGGTCCTTGATGGGGCCAGTACCGGCCCAGATTGAAGCCATTTATCCACAGCTGACCCTGGGAGATGGAGATAAGACTGAGCCATGCTCTCCACCCTCATTCCCCCTCCTAACTCTGCACAGGCTTACCTTGCTCCAACCTGGGAATTTCACAAAGGTGTCCCAGGCAATGCCAGGGGTCTCAAAGGTCCCTGTGTAGAAGGCTGGCCCTGCTCTGCCCCTGCAGCTTGATTTAGGCAGGGCAGCATGGGGCCAGCCCTGCTGGATGGCAGCATCTATGGCCAAGGGGTAGATGAGCCACTTGCTGAGTGGTCTGGAGTCCAAGGAGAGGTTCCCCAGCAAGCCCTGAAGTGGAGCAGAAGGAAAAATGGGGAAGCAGGGTTTGCCCTAGGCAGAAAGATGTCGCATGCAGCCCAAGCATGCATCTCCCCCTTAGCAGTGGAGATGGGATCCCCTCAGACAGGCTGCATGGCCTTGGCTGCCACAGCAGCAGGAAAGGGGGATGCCAATCTCACTGCTTTATCCTAAAGTGTTTGCCACCTGCCCAGGGCTAAGCCAGTGGGTGTGTGGATAAGAAGGGGATGGTGCGGGATTAACCAGGTAGCAGGGTTTGAGATGTTCTCACCATGGCTGAGGGCAAGGGAGGGTGTTTGGCCGCATGTGCCCACGCCATTTGCATGGAGCAGCCCTGAGGCTCTCTTTCCTCACCTTGAAGTCACTGAAGTTTGCCCCGAAGCTGATCCTGCCCATGTTCTCCAGGAGTACATCCAACGTGTCCCCTGCCTTGCCTTTCACATGCAGTTCTGTCTGACCGTCCCGCTCCAGCGTTCCCTGGTACTCCTGCAGCCACAGGGTCAGTGTTGCCCCACTACATCCCAGTCCCACGCTCTGTCTCACCACCATAAGCACTGCTAGCAGCAGCCTGCTAGTGTAGCATTCCACTGCCTTCTCCACACCAGAGCAGACACAAATGGGCCAGCGGAGTGCCCTCAGGGCTTCAATGAGGCTCTCAGTCAGTGTGCTGCCCCAATCCCCATCACAGCACATCTCTCCCAAGAAGCAGGCACCCCTGCTCTCTCACCTTCTGCAGCATCACGTAGCCACGATCACAGATGCTACGAGGAGGAGCGCTCAGCACGGCTGGGGCCAGGATGTCACGGGGCAGCTGTGTGCGGTACAGCATGAAGCCGTGGGCCTGTCAGGCAGCACAGAAAGAGAAGTAGGGCTGGTAATGAGTCCCATTCTTCTACCCTAGAACGTCTCCTCAAGTAACCTTCAGGGCACCCACCTGCTTTACTGCCTCAAAGATGAGTGGGAACTCACTCTGGATGGGCCCAGAGGGGGACAGTACATCCAAGACATCCAGGAGATCAGCATACTGCAAAGACAGGGATGGGAGCTGGGCAGCCAGGCAAGGCCAGGCAGGACAGCACAAACCTCGAGGCGGGCATTCACCTTGTGCAGAGTCACCCAACCGTAGGCATACTTGGGGGTGGGGGGTGGCATCGGGCCCACTGGCAGGGGCTGAAACTGAACAGCAGACTGTCAGGTGCCCCACAGGGCTAAGGCTTCCCCTAGAATAAGTGCAGACATGGCCCTGCCCAGCCCCTCTCTGCTCCTTCTTCCTAGGACAAGCAGCAGAACCCAGCACTGCCCCTCCTCCTGTCAGGCTCAGTACCTTGCTGATGACTGTGCGGATGGCAAACAGCTTCTCCGTGGGGTCTCCAGCCTCTGAGAGTGGTGCATCATAGTCATAACTGGTAGTCACTGGTTTGTACTGGCCCTTGAAGTCAGCTCCTGGCCAAGGAAGTGATGGGAGCTGCAGGGAGAGCCTAGCACCTGGATACCAGCTCTACACTGGAGGCAATACAATTAATAGGGAGCATGACCCAGAACTACTCAGGGATTAAAGGAGCCCTCTGGAGTACAAGCTGGGGTGCAGCATCGAAAACCTCCCCCCTAGGACAGAGAAGCAGCCTGGAAAAGGCTCCCAGATGCAAAGAGTCCTGCTGCATGTCCTCCTTCAGTCTCCCACTCACCGCTCCAGTAGGCAAAGTTGGTGCCCCCGTGGAACATGTACCTGTGTAACAGCCCAGAGAGCAGTCAGCACCCACATGGCCTGGACCACCCTGCTGCCCCCCAACCATCTCTAAAACCAATAGAGGAGGGGTCTGGTAGCCAGGCCATGCCCTAAGTTGGCTACTTGCATGTTGACGTTGGCTCCCAGCTGCAGCATATCGGTGAGTCCCTGAGCCACCAGTGTGGCACTGGTGCTGGCATGCGGGCCCCCCCAGTAGTCCAGCCAGCCCACGTAGTATTCAGAGTTCACCTGGGGAAGCCAGGGGCTGTCACCTGCTGGAGATGGGGTGACACACCCCACACCACCCTCTCACATGGTGCCTCACCAGCGGTCCCCTTGGCTCAATGCGGCGCTGGGCACCAAATGCTTCCGTCACATTGGAGTCTACAAGGGGAAAAGAAGTCAGGCTGGAGCAGAAAGGGGGAGAGGACATCTGCCCCCATCTCATCTGCTCCTTCCCCTTGGCGGCACCTGGCCCAAAGTCAACAGTGGCATAGAGCCCCTGCAGGGTGCCACAGCGCAGCTCCTCCATCTGTGCACCATCAGTGGTGAAGAGCAGCACCTCAGGGCCCAGCAGTGCCCGGAAGGTGCCCAGCAGGTGCTGCAGGTAGCTGAGGTCACAGGCATAGTAGCTCCCATATTCATTCTCCACCTGCAAATCAGGCACCAGGTGGGATACAGCCATGTCCTGACAGGCACCTGGTGACAGGCCCCACAGCACCCACCTGCACACTGATGATGTTCCCCCCATGCTGGTAGAGCCGTGGCTTAATCTTGGGCAGGAGGACATGGAGCCAGGCATCCACGGCTGCCATGTAGGCTGGGGACAGGGGCAGCTTAGCCCCAACCCTCAGCCACTGGCCCTGCAATGAAAGGGACTGAGGGTGCAGAGGAGGAACTATAGGCTCCCAGAAGAGGGAGAAGCAAATAGAAAAAGTCATGCTTAGGGCTGGGCTGAGCAGCATGCAGGGACTGTCTGAAGGGACACCATGGCCGTGGTCACATGCTGAGCTCACCAGGGTCAGAGGAGCGCAGGATGATGTCTGCTTTCCACAGCAGCCAGGCAGGCAGCCCGCCCTGCAGGAACGTGGAGAGCATCATCAGTGAGCACGAGGCCAGCTGAGCCACCTGGCAGCCCTAGGGCAGGGCCGGGGCTCACCATCTCCCACTCGGCACAGATGTAGGGCCCCGGGCGCAGGATCACCAGCAGCCCCAGCTCTGCAGCCAGGTCCAGGAAGGCTTCCACGTCCCGTTCCCCCGTGAAGTCATACACTCCCGGCTGCGGCTCGTGGTAGTTCCAAGGGACGTAGCTGGGGGGAGAAGGGGATGGCAATCAGAGACAGCCCAAGCTGCGGGGTGTCAGAGCTCCGCACACAGCCTCAGGCTCACTTACACCTGCACGGCATTCAGCCCGGCCATGTAGAGCCGCAGCAGCCGGTCTCGCCAGGCGGGCCGCGGGACGCGAGCGTAGTGCACGCTGCCCGACACGTAGCGGAACGGGGTCCCGTCCTTGCGGAAGCAGTCCCGCTCGAAATCGATCTGGAAAGAGCGCGCCGGGAGGGCGGCCTGCGGGACGGGGGCAGAGCTGGAGGAGGCATCCCCTTCCCGGCCCCAGCGCAGGTCCACGGGGGCCGAAAAGAACGGGACGACCCCGGGACGACCCCAGCCCGTCGCCCTCCCGCACCCACCTCCCTACGCAGCAGCGCAGCCGCCAGCAGCAGCACGAGGGCCAGCAGCCCCATAACCGCGGCTCAGAGGCTGGGGAGACGGCGCAAAGCGACCGAAGAAACTCTCATCCCGCCCGAAGCTCCGCAGCGCTCATAATGACGGCACGGCTCCGAACGGCACCGCCCCGCGGCACCGCCTTCTGCCCCTAGCGGCAGGCCACGCCCACTTCCTATCAGACCACGCCCACTTCGGTGAATCTCCGCCCCCTCGGTGCCGCGGGTGACGCGGCGGTGACGCGCGGCGGCGGGCGATGACGCGCGCGGACGATGGGGCAGGCGCTGTGCGTCTGTTCCCGTGGCACCGTCAGCCTGGGGGGTGCGCGGTACCTCCTGCTGCAGCGCCTGGCCGAGGGGTGCGGCGGGACGGGGGGCTGGGGATATTGGGCACGGGGTGGGATGCCGGGGGCACGGGGGACGTCGGGCATAAGGGGTGGTCGGGGCACGGAGGGGATGGATAGTCAGGACTTCGGGAGAGATGCTCGTGTATGGAGGGGATGTTTGGGCACGGCTGCCATCCCCACACGGCGCTTTGCTCCCTGCAGGGGCTTCAGCTACGTGGACCTGGTGGAGGGGCTGCGGGACGGGCGCTTCTATGCGCTGAAGCGCATCCTGTGCCACGACAAGGAGGACCGGCAGGCCGCCCTGCGCGAAGTGGAGATGCACAACCTCTTCCAACACCCCAACATTCTGCGCCTGGAGGCCCACTGCCTGGTGGAAAAGGGTGCCAAGCACGAGGCCTGGCTGCTCCTGCCCTATGTGAAGGTGAGGGAGTGGCCCCCGGCCTTATGTCACGCAGGGCTGTGGTGATCACCTGCTGTGTATTTTTGCCAGGGGGGGACCCTGTGGAGCGAGGTGGAAGCGCTGCGGGAGAAAGGAACCTTCATGCCAGAGCAGCGCATCCTTCTCATCCTCCATGGCATCTGCAGTGGGCTGCAGGCCATTCACAGCAAGGGCTACGCACACAGGTGGGGTCCTTGGCCAGGGGTGGGGGCAGCAGGCTTCTAGTGGGCGCTTGGTGATGTCCCCTTCCCACTGCAGGGACCTCAAGCCCACCAATGTGCTGCTGGATGAGGATGACCAGCCTATTCTAATGGACCTGGGCTCCATGAACCGGGCCCGCATGGAAGTCACCAACTCTCGGGAGGCCATGGCTGTGCAGGTGGGTGCCCGTGCTGGGATGAGAGGTGGGAGGGAATCGTCCCACTGCCACCAGCCCTGCATCCCCTCTGCCTCTCTGCAGGACTGGGCTGCCCAGCGCTGCACCATCTCCTACCGTGCCCCTGAACTCTTCACGGTGCCCAGCCAGTGCGTCATCGATGAGCGAACGGATATTTGGGTGAGGATGCAGCCCCTCCGCCCCCCAGTGCTGTGGGGTAAGGGGCCACTCTAATAGCCGCACTGCAGTCTCTAGGCTGTGTGCTGTACTGCATGATGTTCGGGGAGGGCCCCTACGATGCCATCTTTCAGAAGGGTGACAGCGTGGCACTGGCGGTGCAGAACCCCATCGCCATCCCCACAACTTCCAGGTGAGGTTCTGGAGATGGGTGGGCCCTGCTCCCCATGGCAGGGCCATGCTGACCCCTCACTCCCTACAGGTACTCAGCTGCCTTGCACCGCCTGCTCTCCTCCATGATGACAGTGAACCCCCAGGAGCGGCCCAACATTGAGGACATCCTACAGCAGCTGGAGGGACTGCAGGCTATGCCTGCCAGCCAGGTCACCACAAGTATCTGAGTGTGGCCCATCGCTGGCCTAGGCTGTATTGGGCTGCCCTGGACCTGCTTTCCCCTACGGCTGCTCCTGAGGGGATTTCTGCACCCCAGGAAGAGTTGCTCTGTGCTGGAGGTGTTTTGGAGTCAGACGTTGTCATTTGGGGGTGTGCGATGCAGTGGTTTGTACCCTGAATGCTGCCGCTGGGGCCTGCATGCAGGCTGCTGGTGTCTGTGTGGCTGCTATGGCCAGCATGGCCCAGCACTAGGTTGCAGGACTGGCACATGTGCCCTGCTGCTGAGGGCAAGGCCTCGCTGCCCTCTCTGAGCCCACAGGGCAGCAGGTATGTCCTGCCCTGGGGTATGGCTGCAGCCGGGCCCGGCCTTGTGCTGTGGAGCAAGGCAGGGGCAGGCTGGGCTCAGCGCCCGCTGCCCTGGCACCCACATTGCCTTGTGTTTTGAATAAAGGTGTTCTTGCGGAGATGTGCACGGTGTCCTCTGTCCTGCTGGACATGGGGTGAGCGGTGCACACAGCTGGGACCAAGCAGCCAGGCACAGCCAGGCATTGCTGAAGGGGAATGGTGGGGGAGGACAGCTCCACGGCTCCATGCAGCTGCAGCATTAGTGTTAAGCAGAGAAAGTTAATCTCTGGCCCCAGTGTGACAAATCCGTCTGTGGTCACAGCTAAGCCCTGCTGTGCAGCACCGCTGTGCAGGCTCTCGGGGGCAGTGCAGTGCAGGAAAGGGGCTCACGCAGCACGCACTGCACAAGGCACAGGCAGAGCCCAGCACCTGGGTGCAAAGGGCAGCAGCTCTGCTGCAGGGGGACAAAGACAGCCTTGGGATGGCACTATGAGCAGCTGGAGGGGTGTAGCAGACACACAGCAGTTGGGCTGCCCGCAGCAGGGAAACAGAGAGGTAGCCAAGTGGTTTCAAAGGGAGCATTCCCCTCCTTTAATCCTCTCACCACAACACAGTAGTAAAACAGCCACAGGGATCCGTGCCACGCCAGATGCCCTCACAATGTGCATCCACTGCACTGCAGAGCTGGGACATGCCCTGGGCTTTTCCCAATGCTCCAAGCACTCATCTTTCTGATAAGCCCACCTACCCAACTGGCTGTACACATGAAGATGTTTCAGCAGCCACAGTTTTCCCTGCTCAGGCTGAATCTGCTCCTCAGGACTCCAAGAAGGATGCAGGGTTATCCACATGAGGAGGCAGTACCCACCCTGCCTGGATGGTGAGCAGTGTGGGATGAGCACTGCAGTCCCAGGGTCTCTTACCTGTGCGAGGAGCAAGCTGGAGCTGGAGCAGGAGCAGAGCACGCAGGGAGGAAGCATAGCAGCAGCAGCAGCA